AACCCTTACCCTAACCCTAACCCTAACCAAACCAAACCCTAACCCTAACCCTAAACGTAAACCTTACCCTGACCCTAACCCTAACCCTAACCCTTAACCCCTAACCCTAACCCTAACCCTAACCCTAAACCCTAACCCTAACCCTAACCCATAACCCCTAACCATAACCTCTAAGTTGTGTTGAACGGGGTTGGTTAATTTTCGTAACGCCTCAGTGTGTTGCTGTGGGATTCACCCAAAAAGCAGCAAAATTTTGGTGTTGAAGTTGAAAGTAAAAATTCCATGTCCATTTCATGTCCTTCCGAGATGGATTTTATCGTAATTATTTCGGAACTATAATAGTTTTAACGTAATTTTTCGCCTAAATATAACTAACATATAGGGGATTAAGCATACAAAAAGTGGGCCTTTTAACTTTTTTACTTTTTAAAATATTTCCATTTGAAGTGTCAAATGTCCTTCTGTAATGGCAAAAAAATACCACGGAATGGCCCATATCATCTTGTACCTCTGCTGTCGTCTATGTAGCTGCTGCTTTGGAAGTACTACTTGCGGTTCAAGCAGCTTGGTAGGTTTCTCGTCAGATCGTGGGAATGGCCTGAAGTCACAGAACTCCTTTGAAAACTCTTCTTTCCAGCGGTCAATTTTAACTGAAGTGAAACGATACCAAAAAGACTAAAAACATTTTGATACAGGAGTTTTGATATTGCTGCACTTCTTTTGTGGTCCAATTTTATTAACATATCAAATGTGTCTTAACTCTTATCACTGTTTTGAAAAGAATTTAAATAACATTTTAATTAACTTTAATCTTTTCATATTAAATACCTTTATGTTAGTTTTTAATTTATCTTTGTGGTTTTAGTTTTTATTTGGTAGTGTAAGTAACACTGAGATGCACATGTAGCACGTTTTTAAAATGTATTATTATTATTATTATTATTATTATTATTATTATTATTATTATTTACGTAAATCGTTTGAAAATATTTGACAAGTACCAAAGTCCGGGTGAATTGGTAGTTGCAGGCTGGAAAGGTAATGAATGCTAAATCATTGACATTCCCCGCCTTAATATTGAGCAGAAAACAACATGTCCCTGTACAAAATCAGATAGCCTACTTACAATAAATTCACAGACAGTCAGCGCCTGGGTTAATTAACTACTTCAGTTCTGCTATCTCTTGTAACAAGTGCCTCGTGGTGGGGCGTACATCTCAGGTGACTCCTGCTATCAGGACGAGTGAGGTGTGTTCTCACATACACCCAAGTGTACAGTTAGTGCAAACTTAAAGAACCATAGTTTGAAGGTATTTGGAAAGTTCCAAAACCCCGTAAAATAAGATGTTAGACATTAGTAGTGTCGGGCGGGTAAGGTAATAACTGCTTTATCATTGACATTCTCCTGTCCTTGTATTGAGCGGTAAACAACATCTCCTTGAACAAAACGTTATCGAAGTCCCTACTTAGAATAACTTCACAGACAATCAGCGCATTGATTAATTAACTACTTCAGTTCTGCTATCTCTTGTATCAAGTGCCTCGTGGTGCATTGTAAATCTCAGGTGACTCCTGCTATCAGGACGAGTGAGGTGTGTTCTCATGTACACCCAAGCCTAAATTTTGTGTTGACTTAAAGAACTATTGTTTGAAAGTATTTGGAAAGTTCCAAANGAATAACTTCACAGACAATCAGCGCATTGATTAATTAACTACTTCAGTTCTGCTATCTCTTGTATCAAGTGCCTCGTGGTGCAGTGTACATCTCAGGTGACTCCGGCTATCAGGACGAGTGAGGTGTGTTCTCATGTACACCCAAGCCTACATTTTGTGTTGACTTAAAGAACTATTGTTTAAAAGTATTTGGAAAGTTCCAAAACCACGTAAAATAAGATGTTATTCATTGGTAGTGTCGGGCGGGGAAGGTAGTAACTGCTTAATTATTGACATTCTACTGTCTTTGCATTGAGCAGTAAACAACATGTCTCTGTACAAAATGTTATCAGAGTGCCTACTTACAAGAACTTCGCAGACAATCAGCGTCTGGGTTAATAAACTAGCCCAGTTCTGCTATCTCCTGTATCAAGAGCCTCGTGGTGCAGCGTACATGTACATCTCAGGTGACTCCGGCTATCAGGACGAGTGAGGTGTGATCTCATGTACACCCAAGTCTACAGTTAGTGCGGGTTTAAAGGAGCCATCTAAAATATGTGTAAACTAAGAATATAAACTTAATCGCAGTGTTTGAAATTAATCTTGATAATTGGCCATTACATTTACCTCTGTAAGTTCAAGTATAATTTTTACAAATTTATGGAGATGATTTATTTTTCAATATTAAAATAATAATGTGGAATTGGAAATTAGAATATCCTTTAAATAATATCTTTCGATGATTGAACTGCGTGGCTTCTAAACATTTTTCACGAAACGGAAGGCTGAATTTAGCGCAAATCCATGGTTGATTGAACTAAGATATAAATAAAGAAACTATATAAACACACGGTTACAGGATGTCGGGGACTGGGAGCTTGTCTGAAGAGCACATCGACCTATAAAAAAAATCAAATTTGGCACTTAACTAATTTAACAGCGCTGCTCTTGCCTATATCAATTACTATTGTCTCTTATCATGTTTACTAGATATGAATTATAGACACGTTAATATTAAATAAAATCAGGTGATTCTGTAACAGTCCATGGGTCCAAGGAGGGTGGCGAGAGGATAATACGGAAAATAAGAAGCTACCAGTAGTAAACCGCAACTAGATTTTTAGTTGATAACGATTTTTAAATGTTGTTGGTCATACAATCATGAATCAGAATAATTGTGCCTATACAATTGATACAGAGGACTTGTACATACAGGTGACTTTAATAAGCACAGGATTTTCTATTATGTTCCGTGAAAAATAAAATAATATCATGGTTGGCCAAAAATTGTACGCACAGTGCATCCGTGCGTATGCCTAGTTACGCCCATGCCAGTAGGTCAAACTGATACCAACAACTCCCCCCCCCCCCCACACACACACACTAGCCAGGAGATACAAAAAAAGAAAGCAAGCTGTGTGTGGAGTTGTACTGTAGAGTGTCCGCCTTGATTGCAAGGTGGACCGTATTCAACAGTTAAATCGAGCCTCATTTGATCCATTTGAAATACATGTAAACGTGGCACATCCGTCGAGCGTACTTGCAAACTCGGTATCGAGGTGGTCTGATAGCATACAGTGGCTCACAAAAACAATCAGCAAATCATTTTCACACGTACATGTACCAATATATAAGCGTGTCCATATAAAAGCGACCAATAAAGATAAAACGGTTAACATGGAATTTTAGTACACTTTCGGCAATTTACATACACATATACTTTGAATGAGTAGCAAAATACGATAAATAAGTGAAGTGCCTGTAGCCATCAAAAGACGTTGACATTCATAATAAACTATAAATAATTACTCAGATTATTTACAATTAAATTTACGTTTTTCTATCCTTGAACTAAAAACATTTACAAACGGAACAGACTTTTTGGATCACTCTGTAAGTACGGTGTATAAGGCAGGGGGAGAATACGGCAGTCACCACACAAGCAAAATGGCTTCGACGGTCGTATTGTCAGCGCTTCTATGTGTGTTTGCTGTAGGACTCAATGCAGGTAACTGAACGACGTTGTTAACATTTGATTAATGGTGGCGTTGATTTTAACTTTCATTAATGTATTACTGCAGGAATGATTTCCATATTTTTAAGCCAAGATTGGCGAGTAAAGAAGAAATGTCGTATCGTTTTGTTTTAATTTTATCCATTTTATTTATTATTATTATTATTATTATTATTATTATTATTATTATTATTATTATTATTATTATTACATTTTATTATCTCGAGAAAATTTTATATGTTAAAAGTCACTTATTCGGTCTGGTTCTATTGAATACATTTTTGTTCCATCTTCATTTCCTGTTTTAAGCACCCCCAGGAGGACCCAAGCTCCCTTCAGAAGACTGGATGGAAGTAGCAGGAATCTATGGAGGTGAAAATAGTTCTATGTCTTATTATTATTATTATTATTATTATTATTATTATTATTGATATATTCTTATTTATATCGAGTTCTTTCACTCTGTTATCATTTAAGATTGTCAGTAGATGGAAATCTAGGCTAAAACAGAAGCACAGTTAGTTAGTTATTGCCTATATTCTTTTCTTTCTTTTTTTATTTTATTTTATTTCTTTTTTTTTTTCAATAAAAGCCAATTATCATAACTTAGAAGAACAGAGTAAGTGGCAGTGCAGAAGTAGCAGGAGTAATATAATGTAATTTAAATACATTGTCGTTCTTATCTAATTTTTTATATTCATTTATTCAGATAACATCGACGGAGATATCGTGGAGACCAAGGTAAGCATTGATGACGATTTTTTTTTATTTTGTAATGTTGTAAACTTTACAGTGCTTTTTGGTGCTGTTTGCCTTTTGCTTTAACTATGTTATATGCAAAAGGTTGCCCCTCTTAGATTACATGCATAAAAGGATCGAGTTTAAAAAAAAACAGTATTACGAGCGAATCGAAACAAAACCAGATAATTTATAAAATTCGCTTTTCCTTCACACCAAAGTAAAAATATCCTTTTCTGCTGCTTTATTTTCATACAAGTCTATACATATACACCCTTCAGTCTCGCTTAAGGTCTTCGGGAAAACGCCGGGTGCGTTATCTGCTTCGTGACTCAGGCAGAGCTAAGGCCAGTATCTTACAAGATAAAATTAGAAACGGTCATGATTCGTGTGTCCCATATCCAGTTCATACGTTCTGGGTTTCAGTCTACTTCCCTTTAGCTTCCGGGGGTGGGTGGCACAGAGATTATGTTGCCTCGATTTTCAAGGCAAATATTTAACAGAAGACGACAACAATTTTACTATGCTGTTTAGGGCACAGTGATGAGAAAACTAGTATTTTTCTCGGTGTAGCCCCGTTTCACTCGTTGTGCATTTCTTTTTTTTTTTTTTTTTTTAGGGGGGGGGGGCGATGAAGGGAGAAAAGGGCACCTCTAAAGTTATGATAGGGGTAGATGTCTTTTCTTGCTGGATTAGCCCATCAAACTTCACAACTCAGATCTATACGTACGAGATATTCTGTATTACAATACATGTATAACGTACAAGTAGATGTTATGTTTTATATTGATAAAGTATTTCAAAAAGTTAAAACTTTTGACAATTCTTGATGAAATCATCGCTTATGTTATAGAATATATAAGATATTATATTTAAGTACAACGTAGATGTTATGTCATATTTTGATAAAAAAAATGTTGACTTCTGGCAATCAGTGATAAAATCATTGGTAATGTAATGCAGGATATTATATTTTGTAATAAATACAACGTTAATGTTATGTTATATTTCAACTAGAAAAGAACTCCGAGAGCGTAGACCTCCGCCAAGACAGCAATTTTTGATTATTATTGACTATTGATTGATTATTGATCCAGATCACCACCAAAAACTAATTATCTGTTCCTTGGCCCACTTCTGACAGTTCCTGAAAATTTCATCAAAATCGGTCCATAACTTTTTGATGACAGACAAACAAACAAACAAACAAACAGGGGTGAAAACATAACTTCCTGCGCGGAGGTAATAAAAAAAATTCAGAAAGTTTAAACTTTTTGAATCTGATGATAAATTATTGGTGATGTTATATGTTTCAGAATACAAGATATTCTATTACCAAAACCTGGCCAGGCGGGGTTGTACCATACGTCATTGACCCAACTATACGTGAGTGAATCATGCTGGCGGTTTTGCATACGTCATCGTATAAAGTCATGAACACAAAGTGACATTAACAGATTTTCCAAATGTGTTTACGTGTTACGTTATCTTGCAAAAAAAACTGCATAAATAAAAACGTGGTGGGATACTAATTTACGGCATACACTCAGAGCTACATTAGTAAGTTTAGCGGGGGGGTAAAAACAAATGACACGATTCAGTTAATAAAAATATGACACGGTAATGAAAAAATGCTCAATATACAATTTGCTTTAAGAGTGATAAACATTTGATATAACTAGTTATAAAAAAAAAGAATGGAAATAAAACACCACTTTGATATGAGCATATTTGGTTTGTGCGTGTGCAAAGTCAATATTTTTACCTGGATTACATTATCCCATCTAGAATCTGAGGGCAGACAGAGGATAGGTAATGCGGTGAAACATTACAAGGAGAAGACCTGCATCCAATGGATACCGCGAACCAACCAGAGAGATTACGTTCTCTTTACAGCTGCGGGCAAAGGGTAAGTAGGCCTACCAGTAGATAGAGTCAGGTTGACAGAAAGAAAAAGACAAGTGTTTGCGTTTTTTAAGTTTCAAGATTTTTAGTAATGTGGAACAGAACTGGCGGTTTTCAGTCAAGAACATTTAGAACATTTAGGTTAACATTTAGAAAATTGGAAAACGTTTTATCGTTTTATCTTTGGGATAAAGTAACACTTGATGAAATTTCAAAAATAATTAACTCATACTGTATTGCTTTAACGTTTGAAGTAGATAATTTATATTTTTTAATTTTTTATCGTATTTGATTTCTTGGGCCATTAATTTTTGGGAACACAGGTTCAACAGCCCTATTGGTAAGGTCGGTGGTATGCAGAAGATTAACTTAGAGTTCGCCTGCACGCGCTACGACGACGCCGCCGTCATCCACGAGATGATGCACAGTTTGGGATTCGGTCACGAGCAAAATCGTCCCGACAGAGAGAACTTCGTGAGAATCAACACCCAGAATATTGGAAGTAAGCATAGTTTGCTTCAGAGAACGTTGAAGTTCTGGAAAAGTAGAGTAAAAAGGGGATGGGTTTGATTTCCTCACTTCTTATTAAGTATTGTATATACGTACGGTGTATTATGCATGATGATATCGTATAACGACACATCCCTTTATTTTCATTCGTTATAATTTTTTCATTTTTCATTCAAGCGATCAATCCAAAATAATTTTTGAAACGATACGAAGTGTTGTTTTCTTAAGACTCGACATTATATACAGTATATATGATACGACAGTGTTATTATTGGCTCAGATTTAAAATTCCTTCATCTCTTACGTTATTTAAGGTCGGACTAAGAAAGATCGTGTTTGTGTATATGCACCATCTTTAGAATGAAAATTGCTATGTTTTGCAACGAATTCATCTTAAATTAAAGTAGTCCAAACTTAAGGTCTGGCAGTTAAAAACAACTTCCGATACTGCATCCCTCTGTGGAACCGACCTTGGCTGGTGACTTGTTATTTCAAGGGCCTTAAGCCAGGAGATACATGTAGCGCGGTTTTACCATACCAACTTAAATTTTTTTCAACCACGCAAGTCTTAAGCGTATGTAGTAGAAGAGATGACTTCCCCACTTCCTTTTTTATTCCTTTTTCTGAATGGTAACACCTAACAGTCACTCACACGGGAAAGGTGTGCTTCAGTGGAATTTTTTTCTTTCTTCAGAGTTCGCTACTGCCTTCAAGAAAACAAGCACTGGTCTCACTCAGCTGACCCCATACGACTACACCAGTGTCATGCACTACGGCGCCAAATCCTTCAGTGCCAATGGAAAAGAGACAATCTCAACTCTCACCGGCGAAACCATTCGGCCATCTAAGGTGTTGAGCGAAATGGATATATTTGAACTGTCTTTGAGATACAACTGCCAGCCGAAGCACAGTAAATACATGCATTTCCATTGTCTGTTTTAAGGCAATTTTAATGAAGTGTTTTAAAATAAGAAAAGAATTCAAGGCCTTTGGACTTGGCCTATCCAAGAGTTCTTTTGGCGCAGCAAAGGCAATATTAGATTATCCAAGAGAGTAATCGATGTTTGCTTAATTGCTCCTATGAGGTTTGGCTTTGGGAACACATGCACGCACTAATACAGCGATAGTGTACGGTTCTTTACGCTCTAGGCCAAAGAAACAAACGCCATTAGGAAAAGGGGTGTTTTTGTTCACTTCCCCAGTAATTCTTTTTTATTCTTTTTCATTTCAAAAACAGTTGTAAATCCTTAACAATAAATTACAAGACGGAGACTTCTACATATTTCTATTTCAGATATGCAAGCCAAAGTGGCATGCGAAGGCAATTCTCTCAGTATTTCGTGCGGGACTGGCCGTATCTCTGTCGTTGGCTCCGTCTATGGACGAATTGACAAAAACACCTGTACTAACAGCGTCTTTACAACCGTCAGCAACTGCGCATCCACAACGGCGCCGGCCAAGGTCAAGGCCACGTGTGACGGGAAGAGCTCGTGTCAATTACGTGCCACGACCTCGACCTTCGGATCTGACCCTTGCCCCGGAACACACAAATATCTGAACGTTGTGTACAAGTGCATTGGCGGCAGCGGAACTGGGACCGGTCTGTAACGAATTATCTTTTCAACTATAAACAGTTATCAATATTGTGCATGTGTCTACGTTTAGTTTTTTGCTGTTATGTAATTGGGAATCTTTTTCAGAACTATCCTAAAAAAATTGAAAAAAAATTTTTTTGTGGCATTTACAATTTTCTAGGTTACCCAGTATATTAAACTTATTGTTTGTTTGTTTGCTTATTTACCCATTTATCCTGAAAAAATTTGAAAAAAAAAAAAATATTTTGTGGCATTCACAATTTACTAGGGTGCCCAGTAAATTAAACTTAATGTTTGTTTGTTTGTTTGTTTGCTTATCAACCCATTTATTTATTGTCTCACAGGCACCGGGACAGGCACCGGAACAGGCACAGGAACGGGCACGGGGAATTGCGCTTCCATGACGAGGTACCCCAACTCCTTTTACGTCGGTGGAGATGACATAAAGAGTATGACAGGCGTCACAGAGCAGCAGTGTGAAAGCGCATGCGCATCAAACAGCAAATGTCCTGCCGCGTCTTATAGGGCCTCATCACGCACTTGCTGGCTGCACGCCACCCTCCGCAAGAAAGGCTCCCTTACTGGTTGGACCGCCTTTGAGAAGCCTGCTCAATGCGCTACCATAACAACTGGTATGACGTCCCTATTCATTTTGTGAAAAGTAAAAACATGTAATGACTGAGTAAATTCAATTACTTGCCTATATGCAGCTCTATACTTTTTTTATTTACCAAAGTGTTATATCTTTTTGATAACAGGTGTTTGTAGAAAAATAATGTTAGTTGTAATGATAATAGTAATTAATTGTTGATTTATTCCCTGCGGCTTACTTGAAGGTCGATCCGTTGTTGGTACAGACCCCTATGATTTAAAGCACCCATGTGCTGCGTAAGGAAGCGCAGAACTTGAAATTCACGCAAGTTAAACATCTTTACTATTGCTATGCCTCATAAACCACCATAGATGTGAGAGAAAGAGACCAACAGCAGGCTCAACCATTATCACTGAACAATGCCCGTACGAGAACTGTGCGATGCCATCTATGATAATGCTACGGCCTACGGGCTTACGATTTTCTCAAAAAAATTTGCTTCACAAAATCTTAAAGACTACCGCCGGCCTCCGCTCAGGTGCCGCAGAAAAAGGGATAAGCGGGCAGTTAAGTATGCGAACCGTACAGGCATCGCATGGAAAATGTTATCTAGGCTTAAATTCCGCTAAAAGAATGTTAGTTTATTTAATCGTAAAATAACTCAACATTAGCCATTCTTTTAAGAAGACGCCAAAGGCCTTTTTGGCGTTAAGGCTAAAATACAAAAAGGGGATCTAAATGGGGTCTTAAAGACCAAAAATTGTGTTCACTTTGACCGATAGGCTGCATTTGTCCTACCCAAGAAATACTGTTTTGTAACAGAAAAGATGCATTTCAAAAATATTTCATAGCAGTGGGCGGACTTTTTGTTACACGAATCCTCAGTTTCTTTACACCGGTTCCATGCCTAGCTGTCACTCTTTCTTTCCAGTTGTTGTCACCAATCCACCATGTGTCATGAACACGATAGCCGGACAATTTGTCATCGGAGGTAAGTCAGTTCAGGTAGATCATTGGTGAGGTTCATTGCCACCATTACTGGTTGAGTACGTATAGGGCTGATTCATAAATAGTCTACATTGTTTAGTCGGTCTTAAGAAATGTTGCTATGGATCTTACCGTGCTATGCTGGTTTCACAAATAATATAAAAAGTTGTTCATTGTGTTTTACGCGCGTTTTTTTTTTTTTTTTAATATTGCCCTAAGAGCATACTGCGCTGTCCTTGGTGACAAGTGGCCTTTTGGGGTGTATTTTTCCGTGGGTCAGTTATTCGAAAAACGATATGCGAAAGACGACGTCTTATCTCCAACTCCAAGTTCAGCGTCATTTCTGGTTCGAATGTGATCCAGATTCGGATTTCCAGTTTTATGTGTGTCTAGGTCGACAATTTTTAAAGAAAGTGATCAACGTTTTCTTGGAATGCCTACAAAAATCTTTCATCAAAAAGAATTTTGATATGGTTTTATACACATCTGTTTTCTAAAATCAACATAATATCAATGTTTCAGGCGAGGATATTCGCGCATTTAATGCTAAAAGTGCTAGCGCCTGCTCCGACGCCTGCTTGAACGAACCGAAATGTCCTATGGCAACTTACAAGGCTAGCAGCAAGGTATTTACTCCATTTATTTATTTATTTGTTTGTTTGTTTGTTTGTTTTATGCTCTTCTTTTTTATGTAGGCTATTTTTTGTTTGTTGGTTTATTATTTATTCGTAGATTTTAATGGACCAAAGGTGTACGTTTGAAATAGACCCAATGATTTAACTGTGGAACATTTTCTGCAACTTATAATAGTGGCGATATTTGTAGCGCTAGGTTCAGAAACAACTGTCAGATCGTTCGAATAATGAAACATAAACCACTTACCGTTTAATTAGCTTTCATATAAGTCGAAAAATAAAAGTTATCTGAAATTTGGGTAATTAACGTATTTAATGTGTAAAAATTAACCCGGGTGTATGAAATATGGGTATGCGCGTGCGTGATTGCCTGAGTTTGTACCCGGTGGTGCCAACGGGTGGCAGCATTCCACCCATTTGGACACAGTTGTCACCAGTTGGAAAGCAGTGAGTGGCCTGATATTCAGGAAATATACACCATTCACTTTCATTTATTTATTTAATTATTTCCAGACTTGCTGGCTCCATGCTACCTCCAGAAGGAAGGGCACGGCCTCGGGGTGGACCGTGTTTGAGAAGGGCGCCAACTGCTAAACTGCTTTCCACGTCAACGCAGTCCCTTCCAAATTTTATATGGTACTGATTTTCTCAGCTGAAGGGTTTGGAAAATGGGGAAAGCGCTTCCATTTTTAAATGGCAGTCATTTTGTTGAAATATGCGTTCTTTGTGTCACTTTGTTGATAGGCCTGTACACATACACTGAATAATAAATTAATAGACAAAACATTTCCCTGGTCTAGATGGCGACCTATAACATTAAAATTTGAAAAGTATGTAGATCATGTCAGTAAGTCTGTTTGGTCTTCTGTCCAGTACTTGTTAACTAATCTGGACAACCCCAGTGACAAAAACTTAAACAAAAATCCATTAAACTACTGCGGGGGTACAGTCATTAAATCTCGGTTCCATTGGGACGACACATGGGGAGGCGTGTGAGAGGCGGAGAGACTATTAAAAGATTAGGCGGTTTTTCTTTCATGTACGTCCGCCATATTCAGTTCCAGGATTTGTAAAGCCTGGCTCAACTCGTTGTGAATGCGATCTATTTCAGTATCCCTCATTTCTGTTCACGTAGAAAATTAAAGGCACACAAAAAGCGTTGTCCAGATCGTCGGGGTTCTAGCGGCCTACTGCATTAAAATGATTTTCTATTTCACTAAATCATTAAGATAGAATATATCATTAAACTGTTAGCAGAATCACGACCTTCACACTCGTCTTTTTTGTATTATAAGATTAATAAGGATTGAAAAGTTTTCAAATTTATTTTTTTTTTACTACAGCACTGGTTTTGTTAGGCGAGGGTGTAGTCTGTTCAAAAGTTCGTAAAACATTGCTGGTTCTATTTGGGAATGTTCAACATCGCTTTGAAAGTTAAAACGATCAACGTGACACAGGCGAGTCGAATCTTTTGAGTTCTAATTTACAGAGGGTCTCTCTCGTCATTTCACTCGTCGGTGATTCTTGAATATTTGACTGTAAAAATCCGAATTTTAGTACTAGAAAACGGGTATATAGGCCCTAAGTTAGTGATTTCCACAAAGGCTTTGGATAGAGTTTACAATGGTTACAATGGGAAAGTATTGTGTACCTTTAAGCGGTTTTGAAACATTTACGTCGAAGATTCACCTTTCTAATTGTAGAAAAACCTACACCTCACTGTTCACCTGAGCTTGTGTGATTGCAGCCTAACACCCCATTTCCATAGATTAGATCGACCTACTTTAGATCGACCTAACTCCCTGGGGGTTCACGCTAAATGGCTGTCAGCCGGGCGGACACGAAAGTTAATTACCCCCTTACAGCTTGTAGTAGGCGGGACGGACATTTAAGTCGGATTATCTTAAAGTAATCTAGTGAGACTCCCCGCGGGGATAGATCGATCTAAAATCTATGGGAATAGAGCCTAAGACGCTTTAAAAGCTTGTCAAACCTGGCGGTACGGTTTTCTGTTTTCAGTGTAACTGGTCGTACCATGTTAATTACCCTACGGTGTGTGTGTGTGTGTGTGTGTGTGTGTGTGTGTGTGGTGGGGGTGAGGTAATAAGTACTACCTTTCACAAAGCTCCTGAATATCTGTCACAATTAATCTGGTTTCCATGCCGTGCCGAGAGCGGATCCAAAGCTCAGTTTAGGTGCTAATATACGGATTACTAAAATATGGCTCTCCCAAACTGGAACGGTACAAAGATTTGTACTCCTCGATTGAAAAAGACCTTATTCTTTTTACAATAACCAGCTTCGCCAGATCGAATACCGGGGAGCATCAGCAAGTTGGGACACAAACATAGTAGTTGGAAAAAACTCTATAACATATTTTTAAAAATAGAAAACCAAAGAATTCATTGCATTCTTCTGTATTATATGTAACAAATTTGTTTTCACGGCTTTTAACTTGGCAACATAGAAAACAAAGATGTTGGTCTGAAACTATGTAACACTTCCTACATAAAATGTTGCGCCGTTGTTGTCATCATTTTAATATTTAAATTATCACTCGTCAAAAGTACAGAAGTTCTAGAAAGGAATGTAACAAATGTTTACCACATTTTTAACATTTCAGCTTATTTCTGTATATCATATAATGAAAGATTAAAAATCTGTTGTTAAAAAAAAACTACAAGCAAACAAGTGATTAAGCAAGAAATGAAATATACCAGTTCACAATTCTAAATATATCTTCCCAGCACCAAGAAATTTCATATTTATTTATTTTGTCAAGGAAAGTTGATGTCAAATAAATAAATAAATAAATAAATAAATAAATAAAGTGAAAAAAATAGAGATGATAAGTGATAACAGGTCATAAAGACAGAGATATATTCTTCATACACTTAACCATAAATTTCAAATAATCTGTGAAATGGTTTCAATCTTCATCATAACTTACATTACAGTCTTTTATTGTTCTTTAACTTTCCTTTGCCTTGGATTTTCACATCAACATCTGAACTCAAACATACTTAAGCTCAATCTCATACAAATTCAATGCAAAAGCATGTTTTATTTTCTCCCATTCACGACTGACATCTTTAAAACACTTCTCCCTGCAATCTCTGTCCGATAGGGCCTCACACAGAACGTCTCTCTCCAAATCTGGTGGGTCTTCCATACTTAAATGTGGACTGAACCATTCTAATAACTTGTATTCGTATTTACCACTTTGAATTTTCTTACAGTGAAAATACAAGGTGGCTGGACTGACCACATAAATTTCCCCACATTTCTTTTTCATGCTGCCCATTATGTCTAGTATTTTGGAGTGTAACACCTCCTCACTTGCCCCTGCCAGATCATGAACGAAAACCTTGCTTTTGCGATGACCTTCACCGTTGTCATGGTGATTTGGAATGGCCAGCAGGTGGCGAGGTGGCATGTAGGTATGGTAGAAGATAATGTGCTGCGTGGCAGAATCCTGTCTGGTTGAATACAAATACTTCTGGAGGTACGATATACACTGTACTAATCCCGCTTGGTGAAGACCACCAAACAACATGGCCGCCAAGATGTTGAATATCACCCAAGTTACCTTCAGGACTTTGTATGAGTCCTGCCCAAATATCTTTCCACCACAAATCAAAGTAATGGGAGCTATGAGAGGGAGAAGAAACCTTGGTTCTTGGTGTGGAACCAGTGAGAGTAAAGCCAGTGGTATCAGGAAACACATATAGAGTAATGCACAGTATGGTGCTTTGATCCTTGAACTTGGCCTTCTTGTTGACACCCAGCGGATGATATCCAAAAGAAACAAAATTGGTAATATTCCGAAAAGTATTTGCAAGTTCACCGCAGCATGTGTGTATGGTGGGTGGATCCCATGCTCGGCAAGGTTCTTTGAATCCGAGTTATACTTGAAAAAATTGAGCGGTGTAAGCGTCAGTTGGGATGAAAATTCTGCCATTTTTCCTCTCCAGGCCGTAAGACAGCACCCTCCCTTGAGGATCAGTTCCACAAAACCATGTAGACATTCAAGAATTTTAGCAGGAGATCCGTAGTACATTGAATCGATGAGAGTGAATACAGCCAAAGTGAGAACGGCTCCTGGAATGCATGAAAATATTTTTCCCGCAACTTTCCACAGGGAGTCAAAATCATATGTTGAGCACCTGACTTTAAGCCAATATAAATATGGAACAATGGCAAATGCTACAAAGGAAGGTCTGTTAAAGATACCCATGACTATAATACTTGAGATGGCAGTGGCGTTAAAGTAGTGTCCATTTCCTTTTGTCAAGTCCAAAGTCTTTTCCTTATCACCTTTCACAGAAATTTGTTCCTTTTTGCTCGCTGGCTGATTTTCTTTATTCTGTTCGCTGTCCACCATCACAAAATACAACAAAGCAGTGAACAACAAAACTTCCACTGTGTTTGAAAAAGTGTGACTCATGTAAACAATGGCCACGTATGAACTTCCAAACAGCAACAAATTTGACCATCGGTCACTTCCAGTCATCTTGGACATTCGGACAATGAAAAAATCCATAACAAACCCCATTAAGACCAGCATTAAGCGAGGAAGGACAAGGAGAGTCATGGTGTTAAGGATGAGCCCTCTAGCGTCAAAGCCAGCTGCGATCAGGTACTTGAGCAAGTAAAATGGTGGACCAGATATGAGATAGGGGAAGACTATACTGCGAATTGGGGAGGTAGTATTAAACTCCCATGACCTGTGAACATCGAGGTCCAAGATATCACCTGGAATGACAGAAACTGATCAATAATAATAATAAAAATAATAATAATAATTTCAATATAATAAATAAATAAAGCATCAACAGTAACAGACATATGATGAATGTAAATATGATAAACTGACAGATAAATAAATCAATAAATAATCAATTAACGTCAGTAATAGAAATTGAACTTCCTATCATCAGTTATATTTATGTTCTCTAAGTAACAATTAATTAAAAATTAAAAAAATATGCAAAAAATATACACACATAAATTGTACATCTAACATTCTACAAAATAAAACTCAAAAGGGATATTTTGTACCAAAATAAAGTTGCATTACTTTCTAATTATCTTTTAAAAAGGTTTCTACATGCAAGGGTCTATGAAGACTAAGTTTGTAAGATGTGGCAGAGACATTCCCTGTTCTGGTTGAAAACATATTGTGTTAGTTGTGAAATAACATCTCACCCGCCACAATCTCTGGTCCCTGGAAAAACTCATCTGGATGGATGTAGCCAAACTGTGGGATCACAACCCAGACCAGTCTCAGAGCCACTAGCAGCAGCCAGGCTGTCTTCCCTGCTGCCTGGAAGAGGAAATATTAAAAAAAAATAATGTACAGTGTGTGTTATGATATAATCACTGTCATTGACTATCTTTCATAATGCTCATTTATTTGCATGCCTCTTTGATTTTGGTAAATGCCACCTTTTTAATTCTCATTTGACTGACCTTTGTGCATTATTCATTAAATATTCAAAGGCATACAATACCCATTAGTCCCTTACCCATATAACAAAGAGAATAAAAGAAAATTAATTTCCTTGAAATTCTTAAAAAAATTCTCTTAATCAGAAAAATGAAGATACCATATGCAAAAGCATTTGTGAATTATAATCTATAAATATCTATTTTTACTGCTATTAGCGAAATTCGAAATGCATTCTCTATCTGCATTAAGAGAGAGAGAGAGATAAGACACACTGCCCCTTCTGTTAGAGAATCCCACAGATTGATCCTACCAAGGAACTGAAAGTCTTCGATTCTACTAGAAAAACAGTGATACTGTAGATTAAGTAAGCATTATTTATTTTTGGTCATAATAATATATTGCACAATGAAAACAATTTCTATTTCAATCTACGCATTAAAGCCTGATATTCCCTTGGTATCAATTTTTATTCAAATGGGACACGTAAACATAAATATCACTGATTTTAATCAGCGCAGGCGGCTTACTCTACAACTGCAAGAACTTATTTCGTCAGCTTTGGTTATTGTTGTATCTCCATTATTACATTACTCACCATGTTGTTTTTCGATTCTTCGAACAAAGTACACTGGTATTTTCAAACAATGTTCAAATATCCATGATTGCACTAAATGTTTTACCCCGGCCTTTCTTTACCACAGCGTACAACGTCAACATCAACATGTGGATATCGAGGATTTCGACGCTAGATGTCGTAAAAATCAAGACATCCCTAGCAATAGTGTTATGAAGCACCAAGGTTCTCTTGAACTGGAGTCCCCTATCGTCAATTCAGACCTGGAGAGAGCATTTTCCAAACAACTGCGAGGAAGCTATGTCCATAATACAACGCCAAAAGAATGGGGGCTCAGCCGCTTTGAGCGCATACAGGGACCAACATTTTAAGGTAAAAGAAAATTCGAAATATTTAACTATAAACTGCAGGGCTTTGAGCTTGATTTTGATAAAGTTTGAAGCTAAAACGAGTAGACTTGTGTCAGTGAACTGTGAATCAACTTCACAACAATTTTCAGTTTCACTTTTCAAAGTTTGTGGAGCTTTCATTAAGTATTTGTTTATTCATTCATATAATTCTATAGGGCAGTCGAATTTTGATTCATTTACTAGTATTTATTCACTTTCAGGGCAGCCGTAAAGAGCAAGAAGAAGCACTTCTCCACTCCAGCACATTATATGTAGGGAATCTTTCTTTTTACACCACAGAGGAACAAATTCATGAACTTTTTTCAAGATGTGGTGACATAAAAAGAATAATCATGGGACTAGACAGAGTTAAGAAGACGCCATGTGGTTTTTGTTTTGTGGAGTATCCTTAATCAGTAATTTTAACATGTGCAGTGTTATTAGTAGTTACAATATTCAGCCTCTGGAAAATGCTGTTACCATTAAGTTGTCAATTTTTTGTTTCAAATAAGTTGTCAAAGTGACCATTTTACATGATGTGAAAAAGTCTTTGGCTTAAAGAAAAAAGCAAGTGAAAGTTGCAAGATGTTTTGTACTCACTGACAGTAATAGCACAAAAAGAAAAAAATCTTTTCAATGGGGAGAATTTTACAGATACTTTTTTTCTGTCATAATTTTTACCTCCTCCAAGGAGGTTATGTTTTCACCCCTGTTTGTCTGTCTGTCAGCAACATAACTCAAAAAGTTATGGACCGGTTTTAATAAAATTTTCAGGGACTGTCAGAAGTGGGCCAAGGAACAGATGATTAGTTTTTGGTGGTGATCCGGATCAATTATCGGTCAATAATCAATAATCAAAAATATTGAAAATTTAGAGGTGAAACGGCACTGGATGGAGACTTTGCTGCCTTGGCAGAGGTCTGCGCTCTCTGAGTGCTTTTATGATTTAAAAATAGAACATTCTTTTTGAGTGTTAGCGACAAAATTTAAAAAAAACAAAAAAAACAGGCTACTCTTTTGCTCACCTATGCATTAAAAGCAGCACAAATGCTATATAGAAATATATTTTTATGATGACAAAATTAGGTATCTTAAAGTTGGATAATTTTTGCCCATTGAAAAGATCGAGTAATCACCATAATATTCATTCGAGCAATGTTGCTAAGAAAATGTACCAAACATGCTCCTTGACCTGTTCACTAAGATATTACACAAGAGAAGATGCAGAAATGTGTGTGCGCTACGTCAATGGTACGAGGTTAGATGATCGTATCGTACGGGCAGACTGGGACGCTGGCTTCAGAGAGGGAAGGCAATATGGCCGTGGGAAAACAGGAGGACAGGTAGGCTGTGCTGGTGTTTTATTGATGTCACCTCATTTTGGTGCTTAGTAATATTAGTCAGTTTTGTGGCAGCATTCATCATCTGGTTCATTTATAAATGGTTACCTTAAAGGTCTTTCTGTATACAGAGAAAATGAAAATTGCCTGGGAATTTTATCACTTTTCCATTAATCACCCTGTTGTTCCCTGTCCAAAACTAATGAGAAATTTGTGGTGTGTAATTAATAAAGTTTGGCCCATTTTCAAGTTCTCAGTTTTCTCACTTTTACCATCAAAAATTAACCTCGAACTCACAAACAAGTTTGTAGATTGTAATTTAGTACATGGTTTTTAAAGCCTTGGTGCCTTTGACATGCATAAATTTGTTTTAATTTTATACGAACTAAAACTTTTCTCCTTGTTGTAATTTCAGGTGAGAGACGAATACAGAAATGATTACGACGATGGTCGAGGAGGATACGGAAAGATAGTGACCAATAAATGGACTGGCAAGCCTCCTACCACATAAAACTTCATACTCTGAATATTGTAAGATAGAGTTTAAGATTGGCCAACAGACACTGTTACATTGGTATGTTTTCAAAATGACACTGGCACCGATTACAAAAACACACATTAGACTACATCTGGAGATATTTGAGGATAGACTTGAAGATTTACCAACAGTCACTGTTACATTGGTATGTTCTCAAAATGGCACTGGTACAAATTCCTGCCACATTAGACTGCATCCAGGGATATTTGAGGATAGACTTAAAGATTTACCAACAGTGACTGTACCTTTGGGATGTTTTCTAAAAGTCTCTGGCATCAACTCCTGCCACTTAAGACTTCAGTCAGTAAGCATTCTATAAAGATTGAACAACAGTGACTTTTTAAAACAATTTTGGAAAGAGACCATGACTGGCTTCATTCTTATGGTTTCATTTTCCCAGAAATAATTTTCAAAGCACACAGTTTAGCAGAGAGTTCATTATCTAGGTTTTTAAGGAGATAACATGACTTGAACATGGGAATCATTTTCAGCAAGACACCAGCATGATTTTATTTGGTTCATTCACTTTATTATTATTTAACTGGTACAAGTTCATTGTGAGTTGAAGAAGACCAATTTGGAAATTTATGTATCAAGTTTTGGTGAACCTGCCAACTCAAGTTCTTTTGTAAAACCCCCTTCTGAAGTTTCCAGGACTATATTTGTAAGACTATCTGATTATTGAATACCCTGCAGATTTTGATTCCATATGGTTTTATCCTTTATAGCGAGAGGAAGAGAGATTTGCAGGGTTATTTCAGAGATTTATCATTACTTTAGTAATTTTTTTATATACATATAATTCAATATCATCTCACATCGTTTGTTTTGTCATGTTCTTCATTGTATGACTGAGAGAGTGAGAGCATTAGTGTTTATTGTAAATTTGAAGAAAACTAATGCTATAGCAGTGAAAGAAAGAAAACTGTTCTTTTTTATTAGCTTAATCCATGAAATGTATCATTTTCAAGATGATAAAAAAAAACATTATGAAGTTGGTTAGTTCTTTTTCTTCTAGAAAAACAAAGAAATCAGAGTCCACCTTTGCCAATTTATTTATAAAACTGCAGCAGCATAAAAGAATACAATAAGTAAAATAATAAAAATAATGACACTAAACAGCCTTTAACAACTTGTTTTACATAACTCACTGTCACTACAGAGCTAAAATACATCATTTAAAGCTGAAAGTAGTCTTTACTTCATCTGTAAATGGGACGGAAAAGAGAAAATAACATGTAAAATTGATATTTCTAAAAAGTAAAGTAAGCCTTCAATGCATTAATAGTTTATAGCTTATTTTTGAAAAAAAACTGGTTTGTCATAGTTTTCAATCTTTTGTATATCCCACAAGATAAATTTGAATAAAAATATGTAAAAAATATTCTGATGCAATGTGCCTAATTTGTACTCTTTTGAACCTGATGCTGAAGTCTTACAATTACAGACTGAAAATCATTGCCTTTCTCAACCTGATCTTGATACCAAATTTAGGACTGCCTTGAAAGCTAAGAAATTAATATAAAGGAGAAAGCAGTTCAAAAGGTATATAATAATGCATGCAATTGCACACAAAGCCAAAACACCTAATATATATACCATACACTCACACTATAGCTGGGTTTTACTGCTTATCAATTGTAACAGTATTCCAAAAATAAATTCTTTGCTTCTTTTTGCTTAGAGTTAGTAGTTCTGATGGAATGTTTTTGTATTACAAGAAAGTTTGAAATTCATCTACTATTACTACTATCTATCTAATCTGCTTACTCAGCACCTTTTGTTTTATAAATTATCTAAATTGTCCCATTTTGTTTTTTTCACTGTTCCTCTCATTTTGATTTTTTCTTATAAGTAGGTAATAGTGCTTTTTTAGTGTGGAATGCTATCATGTCAATTCTTTTTTGAATATATTCTTAAAATAGCAGTGAACTTTTTTATTTTAAGAATTGTTCACATATACAGTTTTTTAAAAAATCATTTACTCTGATTTATTATCAATGCTTTTTGATAAAGTAAAAAGGGAGTTACATGTGTTTTTGCATTATCTAAGCCAACAACAAGGTGTTTACATAGCAATTATATGTAAACCTTCATGAGAATATTAATAAAAGTTCTTAACACATTGGATACATTAAAACATTGTCACTCAGCAATCTTGAGATGTTTTTTTTTTTCAAGTTCAATGAATCATTTAGACATATCTTTATATAAGTTTTTTCTCGTCTCTTGTGTGATGATGGTAGAAAATTAAATTGCTTCTAAAGACAATCAAACATGCTTTTCATCAAAAAGTTTGGTTGAAACATCATATTTTCAAACATGCTAGAATAATTTGCTTGTTTACCAACAACAGTTTTCTTCCTTAATTGGGGGACCTAAGACAACTAACAGTGAGGGTTTTTTCGTGGGAGGGACACATTTCTCCGAATGAAAACTCCTCCATCCCTTGGCTTGCGCTTCTTGGGGCTCTTCTTCTTCTGTGGTTTGTAAGATTCAGGATCACTTACCTAAAAGGAGAGGGAGAATATGGTATTAAACTTTCAAATGACTACACTGGATCTTATGAAGTAATACTGGGACTGGGAAGGAAGTCTAATCTTGTATAGACGTGTAGAATTCTATCAGTTCTGCTGGAATTTCTGATGTGATCAAACATGAATTAAGTTGCAAAGAAGCTGCATGAAACACTCATGTATTTTATGAATCTGTACAAACTATAACTTCATTTCAGTATAATTGCTACAATGTATGATATTAAAATAAAACAGTGAACAGTAAAAAAAGTATGAATCCAATTCTAAATTATGCACATTTCCAAAATAATCTTTAACACACACAACAAGGTTATAATAAAGGCAATCAGTGATTATGTTTTCAATCAACAAGTAATAATTGCATTCATCATTCATGTAAGCCATTTTACTTTGAAAAAACTGTTTATTCTTTACATTCCTTATACTAGTACATTCTGGCATGTTATTGGTATCATAAATTATAAAGTGAAGTATAATCAATGTTCTCTATCTAAAAGAAAGAGGAAAAGTTCACCATGTGAAAAGAATTAATGTAAATATATGTACCCCTCCCCCAACCCAAAATATTGAAATGTGTATAAGGTTAACTTATAAAAAAAAAGGGGGGATAGAGAAAATGAATGGGTTCTAATACTATACAGAAGTGCATACATTTTAACCCATATAACATTAATTTAAATTGTTTCTATGGTGTAAATGTCATTACCACACTACAGTCATCAGTTTCTGAGCGAGCCGAGTGCCTGTATGCTGAACGGAGCTTACGCTGAATAAAGCAAAAAATTAAACAGCATGCATCATGCAATAAAAAAAACACCATCCACCAAGCAAACACTGTGCAGCAGTGTTCAGACAAGTTTAAAAGTCAGACCGGTTCATGTCTAAAACCTGTTGCCAGATGAATTCAATTCAATGGTGATTTTATGTGTCAAGTGGGGTCTTTTTGAGATCCTGCCTTTCTCAGAGAGAAGAACCATTGTGACAGTTTTTGAGACATCCAGATCTCTGAGTAATCAACCTGATGTTCCTGTGTCATTTTACCTGTTAACTGGTCTGAATGAAACTTGTCTGAACAGATCATTTAAGTGCAACAAACTTGCAATTGGCTGAAAGCAAGTGACCAAAAATGTGCAATGAAACACACTTTTTTAATATAGTGAATTACAACAAAAACAACCAAACCCTTATCAACATTAGCAAGGTAATTCAATATTATTGTTTTATTTTAAAATAAAAAAGTTAAATTTCCTACACAGTATTGTTAAGATAGAATGATATCTAATCATCCAACATGCAGTGAAATATGTTCACAACCAACTAATGTCAGTGGGTGCAAAATAAGTCCATCAACTGGTCAAAAAAAAAGCACAAGACAATGTAATTATAATTATACTAAAAACAAGTCTTCAGTTAAAAGCTAAAATAAAATGACATATGGTGCATACATTGAAAGCAAATATTGGCACACATATACATCAAGGCATATGCATCGAAGACCTTTGCCCAAAACACATGCTCAAATTACATGTACATGTTTTATTATGATGTGTCATGTTTTGCCTAACGAATTTTAAAAACTGACACTGAAAACTCACCTCTGCATTCTGTTGGTATGCTTCCAACTCAGCCTGCAGTCGCGCAATCTGACGACGGTACTCATCTAACTGCGCTTCAAGTTTCTCACGACGAATGCGTTCATAGTCTAACTGATCACGCAACTCCTGGATGGTTCTGTAAAAGTAAGAATAAAAAAAAGGAGTCATAAAAAATAACATAATTATATTGTTAACATAGGGGAAAAATATTTTTCTGCATTTATTTTGCCCCCTTTAGAACATTTCATACAAAATCCAGCGACTTCTTAAACTCTCTTTTGCACACACACACACACACACACACACACACACACACACACACACACACACATGGACATTTTTATGGGGTGTAGTTTATGATTTCTTTATTGACCAAAAATATATATCTCTATATTTCCAACTAAACTTAAGAAAAATGTTACTTAAAAATCAGAATATATGGTCTGGTAGTTGTCATTCTAAGCTGTTATCCTCACAAACAGACAGTGGTAGCAAATGGTTCTTCCACCAACCTCTCAGACTCCCTCTGCATTTGTAAAACCTTCCTGTCCTCTGGGATCTTCCCACCAAGCTGACGGAAGTTGTTTTTGGCAATTTCCGTCAGGCGTTCCAACTCATCAATTTTCTTCTTGGCTCTTCCTTTCGCCTCTTTCTTTTGTTTACTGCTGAGAGGCAGACTGTCTCCCTCCGTATTTCCAGCAGGGGGCCCTGAATAATTCTCGTCATCTTCTTCCTCGTCTTCATCCAAATATTCTCCATCATCCTCACCGTCACCACCATCTTCTTTCTTCCCTCGGCGTCGTCTGCTCTTTCCACTTTTTCTACCACCACCACCACCACCACTTACACCATCTTCTCCTTCAGAGTCTAAAAAAAAATAAATCTAATTTCAATATTTATTCTTCTTTAAATAACTAGTAGCATGACTGTCTTTACAAAGTTAGTACATGAACCAGTTTCAAAGTTGATCAGTTTTCAACATTTGTCAGAAAAAATTGGGTTCAACTGCTCAGTACAAGACTAGTGTAAATGAATAAGATCTTGTCCTAATCCCAGCCCACCCCCTCCACATAATTTCAGGTGACATATTTCTGTAAATTATATTTCATAGAATTAATACGTTCTGAAGTTGTGTCCTTAAGCAATTGACATTGCCCATAGAAATTAAGGAAAGTTTTTAAAACATCTCAAGCAAAACAAAATTTTGACAATGGATGTTAAAATGCTAATATGTTCTTACAATGCTTTTAAAATAGTGCATAATTGACCAAATTAAATCAAAATTTAAAGTTGACACTTTACAACTTTTAAGGAGTTTGGAAACAGGAGAGAAAAGTGAAAACAAAATATAAATTTGTGTAGTCATCTTTGAAATAAATGCTGAAAGGAAACATGTCAAAGAGTCATCACTTCAAAGTCAGAAAAATAGAAGAGGATTTCATTGAACCATCACCTGTAAATAAGACAAGAAAATAATCTTCATAATGCAAGCAACAATAACAACAACAACAACAACAACAACAAAGAAACAAACAAATATATCCCAATTCCCACAACAATTCATCATAAGGACCCACTCCTGTTTCTTTTCCCATTTCTTTTCCCACGTCGCATGGCAGCACCCCCTGTGCCGTCCTCTGGTCCAGGCAAGTCATCCTCTGACATCTCTTCTTCCTCACTGCCTGGGGCCTCGCCAGGGGGGANTACTGTTAAGATAGAATGATATCTAATCATCCAACATGCAGTAAAATGTGTTCACAACCAACTAATGTCAGTGGGTGCAAAATAAGTCACTCCATCAACTGGTCAAAAAAAGCACAAGACAATGTAATTATAATTATACTAAAAACAAGTCTTCAGTTAAAAGCTAAAATAAAATGTCATATGGTGCATACATTGAAAGCAAATATTGGCACACATATGCATGCAGGCAAAAACACACATATACATCAAGGCACTTGCATCAAAGACCTTTGCCCAAAACACATGCTCAAATTACAAGTACATGTTTTATTATGATGTGTCATGTTTTGCCTAACGAATTTTAAAAACTGACACTGAAAACTCACCTCTGCATTCTGTTGGTATGCTTCCAACTCAGCCTGCAGTCGTGCAATCTGACGACGGTACTCATCTAACTGCGCTTCAAGTTTCTCACGACGAATGCGTTCATAGTCTAACTGATCACGCAACTCCTGGATGGTTCTGTAAAAGTAAGAATAAAAAAAAGGAGTCATAAAAAATAACATAATTATATTGTTAACATAGGGGAAAAATATTTTTCTCCATTTATTTTGCCCCCTTTAGAACATTTCATACAAAATCCAGCAACTTCTTAAACTCTCTTTTGCACACACACACACACACACACACACACACACACACACACACACACATGGACATTTTTATGGGGTGTAGTTTATGATTTCTTTATTGACCAAAAATATATATCTCTATATTTCCAACTAAACTTAAGAAAAATGTTACTTAAAAATCAGAATATATGGTCTGGTAGTTGTCGTTCTAAGCTGTTATCCTCACAAACAGACAGTGGTAGCAAATGGTTCTTCCACCAACCTCTCGGACTCCCTCTGCATTTGTAAAACCTTCCTGTCCTCTGGGATCTTCCCACCAAGCTGACGGAAGTTGTTTTTGGCAATTTCCGTCAGGCGTTCCAACTCATCAATTTTCTTCTTGGCTCTTCCTTTTGCCTCTTTCTTTTGTTTACTGCTGAGAGGCAGACTGTCTCCCTCCGTATTTCCAGCAGGGGGCCCTGAATAATTCTCGTCATCTTCCTCGTCTTCATCCAAATATTCTCCATCATCCTCACCGTCACCACCATCTTCTTTCTTCCCTCGGCGTCGTCTGCTTTTTCCACTTTTTCTACCACCACCACCACCACCACTTACACCATCTTCTCCTTCAGAGTCTAAAAAAAATAAATCTAATTTCAATATTTATTAATCTTTAAATAACTAGTAGCATGACTGTCTTTACAAAGTTCGTACATGAACCAGTATCAAAGTTGATCAGTTTTCAACATTTGTCAGAAAAAATTGGGTTCAACTGCTCAGTACAAGACTAGTGTAAATGAATAAGATCTTGTCCTAATCCCAGCCCACCCCCTCCACATAATTTCAGGTGACATATTTCTGTAAATTATATTTAATAGAACTAATACGTTCTGAAGTTGTGTCCTTAAGCAATTGACATTGCCCATAGAAATTAAGGAAAGTTTTTAAAACATCTCAAGCAAAATCAAAATTTTGACAATGGATGTTAAAATGCTAATATGTTCTTACAATGCTTTTAAAATAGTGCATAATTGACCAAATTAAATCAAAATTTAAAGTTGACACTTTACAACTTTTAAGGAGTTTGGAAACAGGAGAGAAAAGTGAAAACAAAATATAAATTTGTGTAGTCATCTTTGAAATAAATGCTGAAAGGAAACATGTCAAAAAGTCATCACTTCAAAGTCAGAAAAATAGAAGAGGATTTCATTGAACCATCACCTGTAAATAAGACAAGAAAAAAATCTTCATAATGCAAGCAACAATAACAACAACAACAACAACAACAACAAAGAAACAAACAAATATATCCCAATTCCCACAACAATTCATCATAAGGACCCACTCCTGTTTCTTTTCCCATTTCTTTTCCCACGTCGCATGGCAGCACCCCCTGTGCCGTCCTCTGGTCCAGGCAAGTCATCCTCTGACATCTCTTCTTCCTCACTGCCTGGGGCCTCACCAGGGGGTATGTTGTTGTATTCATCTAGGAACGCTCGGCGCTCAGGGTCTATTGGGTCAGGTTTATATTATATCANGGAAATGATATCAGTTGTTTATAATAATGAATAATATAGTAAGTGAAGAATAAGTTGCAATATTTAATTCTACCCCCTAAAAGAGGGCCACGTGGAAGATACATGTTAGCGTATATTAACATGTTTACCCCCCTTTAAAAAAAGTTTATTATTATTATTATTATTATTATTATTATTATTATTATTATTATTATAAAGGATATATGTAAGTTTGTTAATTTCATTTTGCTTCTTCAATTATTCTAAATGAGGACATGTAAAAGCTCCAATCAAAGTGAAGGATATTATGAAAATTAACATACTTTAAATAATTTATGAAGAGTGAACGAAGTTGTATACTGGATAGTGTTATTTAGTACATATTGTATATATTTACACCATACTGAGTTGCATCCTTCTTTCACAAAAACAACATATCAAACCCAATAACAAGTTCATACCTTTATGAGCAGGTGTTGATCCCTTATCATCTCTCTCGTTAATGTTAACGACACCATTCTCCACCAACATACGAAGATGATTCAAATCTCCAGAATAGGCAGCTACATGTGCCGGGAATGCCAGGTCTGAAAGAATTCATAAATATTACCCATGTGACCTGTCTGAAGAAACAGATATTCATTAATGCAGTCTAAGTTAAGTATGAATTTCAAAACATGCAAGGTGTATCATTCTTTTTGAAATTCATATTTATAAAATTAAATCTTATAAAAATACTGTAATTACTTTAACAATATTATACTGTCAAATGTTATTCCTTTTTCCTATATTTAACTTTTTTAAGATTGATCATTTCCAGACACTCAAAAAAATGTACATTCTGACACAAAGTTCAACAGCTTGTCATTACTTTTAAACCAACACTTTAAGAATTATTAACATACAGTAACATTTAGGGGGGAGAAATTATTGATTCTGTGGCATGAATAAACGGAGTAATTGCCATAAGTTAAAACTTACTCTCAGCTTCCTCAGGGTGGTCTCTCTCCCACTCTATCTCACTGACATATTGCACGATGTGTTCCTTGTAGAACTGAGACGCCAGCATCTTGGGCGTTTCTCCTTGGTCGTTGCGTGCACTGATCACCTGCGTAGTGCTTGCGCCGTGGGAAACCAGAAACTTCAACACAGGCAGGTGTCCCTCCATGGCAGCTAGATGAGCTGAAGATTGAAATTAAGTGGCATAAGTTGAGGTAAATTTATACATCAAAAGAGCTCTACACAAATGGGTCGATTTTGTGTAATGTTTTGTATTTTTTTCAGTGCTCTTCATAACTTCACAAAAAATATTCAGGCCCATTCTTGGACATATGATCATTCAGAGTAGTTATTAAAATAAACAAAACTATTTAGTATTACTTAATCCTAATATTAATCAAAGCCATCGACATACTTTGTATATACACCTCCACAGAATGAATTCCTTAAGTTAAGATTGGATGATATAAACTGAACCAGCCCAAGCTGAGTGGAACTGCTCCTTACTTACCTGGCGTGTTTCCATTATTGTCCACCTCCTCTGTGGAGGCCCCCCACTTGACCAGCAGCTGTAGACAGCCCAGACGGCCATGATAGCAGGCTGAGTGGACTGGGGTCCAGCCATTCTTGTCTGTGGCATTCACATCCTAGTGGAGTGGTGAAAATGAACAAAATAACATAGGTATCTACCTGTTTATTTATGTCTATTATGATATCTGTTGATTCATTTAATATACATTTATTTGTCTGCTTGTATAGGAGTATAGAATATTTCCATTGAATGCTTAACATTCTATCTTGATTTTGCTGTGTTCACACTTTTTTCTTTTTGGTCAAATTCATAACTAGGTTCAACTTTCTGCTTTGGCTGAAAATATCCAGATCTCTGGAGAAAAGCCATTCCCCTTACCACGCCACTCCTCAGGATGGAGTGCAGAGTGAAGGAGTTGCCATGGGCGGCAGCCAGGTGGGTGGGGGTACACCCCCTCTGGTCTCGGGCACTCAGGTTAGCCCCATTGCTGGCCAAAGACTGAAACATGACCACACATTATCTTAAAATAAAAAGTGTGTTAGATGTGACATTCAAGAAATGTGTCATTATTTTAGTAACCTGATTCTATCCTTAGGTTGCAATAAATGAGATGAAAAAACATATATTTACATTTTATCAATGTTGTATTAGGTGTAACATTAAAGAAATTTGTTCCTTAAAGTTTTCTGTAATTTTATCAACATTGCATAAAAAGTGCCACAAAGAATATGTGTATATTTAATCAGCACTCTGTTAGAATTGACATTCAGATAATTTTATTCTTACCTGCATACATGCATCCTGACCTCTGATGGAGGCAATGTGTGCAGGTGTCCATCCCCTAGGTGTCGCCACTGTAGTATCAGCTCCGTGCCACAACAACCAGTGCATACACTGATAAAAAAATTTCAAAAAATAACACCATCAGTTTCATGTATGGAATACTGAGACAGACACTTATCAACTGCATCAATTTATGAACTGTTTAGAAATAATAATACATGATATCAGTTCATTTAACATTATATTTTGGCATAAATTTGTAATTATTATCATAGCAAACATTATCATTTAGATTTGGAGAATATTTTCTAGCTATCCAGCAGTTTGGCAAAAAAATATGTATACTGATTAGGTGCAAAATAATAAATACAATACAGCAATACAGACAATATCATTTTGTTTTCGTTAATTTCTCTACCTCCAGTGCTCCACAGTGAGCTGCCCAGTGAAGAGGCGTAAACTTGTGGACTTCTTCAATTTCATTAATGCTGGCTCCTGCCTTCACCATGGCCTGCAGCTCATCCACATCACCATTACGCACCGCATCATGAATGCTGCTGTACAGCAGCTTGCGTGGAGCTGGAAACAAAGGAAAAATATAATAAAATATGGACATGCATGCATTGAAATTTAATTATCATTTACTTGGTACGACAACTGAAATCTTAAATTAAGGAAGTAATAATAATGCAACTAGTACTTTTAAATAAGTTAATTGTAGTTGATAAATTTTCTTTTGACAAACTTTTGATGTGATCATGGCTTAGAAGAGCATATTTATTGCCTGTGAGTTTTTTCAGTACTGGAAATTCTACAAAATAAATATATGTACCCTGTAACTGTACATGTACTGTACGTTATCTTAATATATTAAAATATATAATAACTGAAATCTTAAAAAGTGACATCTGAAATCTTAAAAAGTCTCAATTTAACAAATTAGCACTTATATCAATGTGCCAAGTTTTCTACTTTTATCATGAACTTTTAAAACAGGTGCTTTTCCTAATATTTGAAAGCCGACAAAATAATTTCAATCCGCTTGTTTGCCTTAGATACCGCACTTCGTCTTATTCTAAATCATGTTATCAGAGTTGCGATTAAAGAACGCTTGTTTTCTTCAGTGTATTATCATTGAAAGATAACATTTAGTTATTTAAATTCACATTTAGTGATCAGTTAAACCCAAAATGTGCAAATTATTTAAAAATACATTACCTGGCATCTTGACGGTAAAAGTATTTGTTACCGGAAGCTAGATGGCTGTCTCGCACCAATTATTTTGCACTATTCACATTCGACAAAAAACCATTACAAAATTTTGTTAAGTAATTGTAAATTTGAATGTTGGTGTATTAAGAGAAATACTGTTCAAAAATATAATTTTTACATTTAGAAACATCGGTTAGCTAAAGGAGAAAAAGACTTATGATTTAGACAGCGCGGACCTTATTGTGTTTACGTGACCTTCACCTTGCGACCACATGTTGAAAAATGTTCCAACAACACAGAGGAAGCTTCCATCCGAATCAGCGAGGATTTCCCGGTCCAAGACCTCCGAATTTTGGCAGTGGGCCTCCAAGACACCATGGACCTCCCCCACATATACGGCCACCGCCGGGAATTGGGTTTGAAGAGTTTGGGCCAGGGGGACCAATGCCTCCTCGTTTCTCAGGTCCTGGACGTGGGGTGGACTTCCCCGGACGCGGAATGCCTCCTTATAGGCTCAGGGGTGGAAGATTTCATGGAAACAGGGGCGGATTTCGAGGTCGAGGAGGGAATTTCCGAGGAGGATCGCATCCGGTAAATAACATTTATTTATTTATTTATTTATTTATTTATTTATTTAATTTACTTTGCCCCTACCCCCAAGCTTTTGAAAAAAAAAAAATAAATAAAATGAAGAATTAATCGGTTTATTGTCTCAGGGCATAACTCTGAGCTGATTTATGGGCTACTTCAATGGTTGATTAAAAATCAATATAATACTTTTGTACTTGATACTTTTGCACGTGAAACCTTTTAATCTGTTAATTGGGCATAAGCATAAGACTTAAAGGGATAATAACTCTTCATTTTGGTCAAAAAATGAATTTTCCTGGAGTAAACAACAATTTTCCCATACTTACCAATGGTTAATGAATCCATTTTTACATTCAAAGTTAGTCCCTGTTTTTTTCTAAAAAGTTTGGTTTTTTGTTAAAATCTCTTAAGAGATTATAACAAAGTACAGCCATCAATGGGAGTCACGTGATCTGAAGACAAGCTCAGATATCAGAATAATAGCTTTAACTGCCATTTTTGTGGTAAAACAGAATATATATAATTATATTTCTATGAGTTGTTCACAATGTTTTTATTGTGAAATAAAGATATCATACGAAGAGTTATTATCCCTTTAAGTAAAATTAAGTTCGAGAAATTTCGGGTATGATCCCAACACCCCGTCAGATTACAGAATATATATATATATGTATATATATTTTTTTTTTTTGTTCAGAAAAAGATCAAAGTGGACAAGAGAGACTTGCCAGAAAACAACAAATTTTACTGTGATGCCTGTGATAGGGGGTTTAAGACAGACGACAAGTTTAAAGAACATGTGGATGGACATCAGAAAGTGAGTAAAAATTATAATTATTGGTGTCACTTTAAATTAAGAGCCTACTTTCCTACATGAAGCCAACACATTTTTCAGAATTTTTGAATAAATTCTAGATATAACTACTTAGACATGGGTTTTGGAAATGTATTTAGTTTTGTTTGCATTAAGTGAGATTAACTTAGTAAATATTAATATTTTTGTTATTTTGTCTGAAATTCAAACATGTAAGTAATTAACACAATTTTTTCTTTCTAAGTGTCATTATGATGGATGTTCCTACATAGCGGCTCCCAAACTTGTGAAGTTACACATAGATCTGGTGAGTTAGAATTGATTAATTCATCACTTTAGGGAAACTCCACATAAATTAAGTAAATTAGAATTAAAAGATATCAGGTGCATAAGTTAGGAGGACATAATTATAATTAAATATTTTTGTAGAAAATGGATTTACACATCTTCGTGATGTATAATCAGAGCATTTGCCAACCTGAAGTACTAAAGTAAGCCAGAGACCAATCATCTTCTAGTTAGTTACTGTTGAAGCCCAACTTTGAAATAACAGTTTTCACGAATTAGTTTGAAATATGTGACAGAAATATATTTTCATTATCTAAAGTATTTAAAGTCTATATTGAATTATAAATGTTTTAAATATTTTTTAATCTGCTGTCTATGTTACAGCAACACAGAACTGGCATGGCCAAAAAAATTTGGAGTTTAGAATCAGAGGAAGACATAAAGAAATGGAAAGAAGAGAGAAGAAAGTGAGAGACAGTTTTAAAGAACTTCTAAGAATAGGAAAATTTTCAAAAAATTATTTTTCTTATTTAATACTGATTTATTTTTCCAAATGGTTTGCTACTCACATAGATTGTTTTTATATATACTGTTGAGAAGAAAATATTGAAAACAAAGCAGTAACACTGAGGATGTTTTAAATTGAAGCATTTTTTTCTTTCAGAAATTTTCCAACTGCCAGTAATATTGCTAAAAAGCAGGCAGAGCTACAGGAGAGGAGAGAAAGGGGAGAAGTCTTGGAAACAAAACAGTTTGGGTAAGATTTCATGAGAGAATAGAAAGAGGGGAGGTCATAGGGGAAAAAACAGAATATCCAAAGCAAAATTGAACAAATTTACAAAAATGTCACTGACCTAGCTTCAACTTTACTGTAGACATTGAAAATTTTACAGACTGTATTTTTGTTATAATTTTCAGGCGAATGAACAGGCGGGGTAGAGGAAGAGGTCGCGGTGGTCATGATAGAAGACATGGACACAAGCGGCAGTGGCGTCAGACTCCCAGTCAGTTTCAGAATGATGGTATCCAAGCTGAGGATGAGAAGGGAGCAAAGCATATACGTTTAGAGGAGGTAATTTTTTTTTTTGTTTTGTTTTGTTTTGTATTTTATTTTTGCTATATGTAAAAGAGTCAGATTTAACATCAACAAGGTCAAATTTTGATTCATATTTTGATGATCGTTTAATTGTATCTTTCTAGAAATTGGTGTGACAGAAAAATATATTCTGATATAGTTACTGAATTATCTAATGAGTTAATTTTTCAATAAAATTAACTATTTAATTAAACTAATAAAAATTTATTGCTATACAAGGCATTCATAATTCTTATAATAAAAATTATTAAAGAATTATCATCTTTCGCGTCCTAAAATTTCTGAATGATTTTCATGTTCAGCCTACCTCAAAGCGAGAAGAGGTAAAAGTACGAGATCCCACCATAGACCCTCTGGCCTACGTGCTGGAGGATGCCTCTGGTAAGGGAAAATTCATTATTTTAATACTTCAGGACTAATTTTAATCATATCTTTTTAATAATATAATTAGTCACCTAGCATTTAGCACTTATGAAATTAATAAATTGAAATTAAATTATCAAATTGAACATCACTTCACTTTCAAAAGCTTGAGAAAAGAAAACTATTTGGCATGAAGCCAAGATGTTTCTATCACTTATTGCTGTGACAGTCTTGAAGGGATAAAAAATGTCTTACAGGTAAAATAACAAAAATGTATCTTTAGAAGCAATTTACCTTTTTATCGCCATTATACAGAACAAAAAAAAAATGAAAAAAAAAATTCACAATTTAAAAAAGTCATGTTGTATTCCAGACTCAGACTCGCCTCCCACAGAGGTCCCCCTGCACACAGGCAAGACAGCCCTGCCCTCCACTTCTCTAGCAGGAGGCTTGGGCTCTCTGGCCGCCTCTTATGGAGATGTTAGTGACAGCGAGGAGGAGGAAAAGAAAGGTGAGAAAACAAAATTATATATTTGCACACAAGCATGCAAGTGCATGCATGCACACACACACACACACACACACACACACACACACACATCCATATCAGCATACATGCAGTTGTATTTGCATTAACATGCACAAATATGAAAGGCATATACCCATGAATTTACACACTTTGCTGAAGAATCACAAGCTAGCATATAAACCAGTTTCATAGAAATATACTTTAATTCTAGAACTTGATATGGAAAGCTATTCAAACTTAAATTTTTTGTCATTGAAATGTCTCTCTTTTTGTTCGTATTTTGGTATATTATTTGCTTGGAATTCAATCTTTATGATTTTTTCTGTTATATTTAAGTAGTGGAATTATAGGAGTAATTATGAAGATAGAATTATACATTGCTTTATTCGCTGTTACAATTCTATGCGCTTTATTAAAAATGTACTGCAGACTTGAAAACTTTGACTTTCTTAAATGTTGTCTTGTTTTAAAAGCAAAGTATAAGTGTGACATAAAAAAATAAGACAAAAAGATATCTTGCTATAAAACCTGCACCAAACTTTGAATTATTTACTTTCATGATGTATTTATTGAAAACCTAATCTCACTTACAGAAGACATTAAATCTGATAAAAAACCGAGTGCAATAAAGAATAATGGTGCTACAAACAAAGGACACCCTAACCACCTAAGACCAAGGAGGAAAAGAAAAAGAGAGGCATTCGAACTTCCTAAAAAAGCCACCCTTTTAGAAAAGGTATAGTGATCTTTATTATATTGTGAGTTATTGCACTAAGAATTTAGTTTGACTGAGATGCTTGATCACCAATTTGGTTTGTTATACTTAGTTATAGTATAAACCATGATCTTTCATTAAGTTCCCACCTCTGTCTTTATAGAACAAAAGAAAAAAAGACTAAAACATATTATGATACTCATATTGATATGTATTTTTTACTTTTTTCAGCTTTTGGCTAATGAGATCCGACACGAAAGGAATGTGATATTACAATGTGTTCGCTATGTGGTCAGAAACAACTTCTTCAAAGAGAGGTCTTCAGAGAAGTCTTCTTCAGAGACTGATAAAATATCTGACATTGTAAACACACCTAACTTGTACAATGATGACGTGTGGGAATGAAAGTGATAGCAAGGGTCTTTCTGACTGGACTTTTAATAAAGAAAATTCTGTCTTACAGTTGACCTAACTGTTCTTTGAAAGAACTGTAATTGTAACATTTGAGTTCTAAATACAGCTGATGAAAAGATGAACAATGGACTCCTTCACTCAAAATCACCATATGTGTAATCTTTGCTGACAGAAGTTAATCAAAATATTCTTTAAATAAAAAGGTTTTTAAAGCAGTAATAAGTCGTTCAAAGACATTTGTTTCATTAATAAAATTTGACCATAAATTGGTGCAGCAATCTCAAAACTCCTTTTGAAGATAAAATCATAAATTTATTCAGGCACATATTTTTCTGTTATCTTCTTCATTTTCTTCTTCGTTTGGCCCTCCGAAAATAATGGTGATGGGATCACTCGATTTCAATGTTATGTAACATTACAATATTAAATAACAGCATCTATAATATGTATAAATGACTACATATTCATAGGTCTGTTATTTCATTGCTCTTTCTTCGCTCTTGATATTCGAGCAGATACCGGTAAATCTAGCTGCGGATGGTTATTCAAGTGCGTTGCTTGGTGAGAAAGGCGGAAGAAAGGAAAAGAAAGGAATCTTCAAACAAGGCGAAACTTTATCCTTCAAGCCAATTTAATTCTCCGGTATATTCTTTGAATCGGATAAGGTGGTGAACGAGATAAAGCCAACCTCGTCTTTATTGTTCCTTCATGAGGCGGTTACCGTGATAAATCGGTCCTTTCAAAAGCCAATTACTTTATACGACCGGGGTCAGTACAATGAAATTGACTCTCCTCTAATGTCCCTTTACGAGCCTGTTAACTCAAAAACTAGAAAGATTCAATCAAATCGTTTGCGTCTTGCGATGGCAGACGACAATGGAGAAGAGCAGACGACAATGGTGCGCGAGAAAAGGTATTCTTCACGCAGCAATAAGTTGCCGGTGATTAAGTCATTAATTTTGCCCTCACACAGCCACCGGCGTAGCTGCACTTGGTGACAAACATCTTTTCCGTGTTCTTACTCTAAGTTCAATTTCATTGAAATGTTTTTCACTGAATGATATATTACTTTTATTTTACGTTTCACTTAAAGTTCACTTTCATTGAAATATTTTTCACTAATATGGGGTGTCGTACATTCTACTTGTCGATGCCAGACTTCTAGCGGTTACGAGTTTACAGTGGCGTGTGACAAATTGTCCTCTCTGCTCCCCCCCCCCCCCCCCCCTCCTCCAAACACGCACATTGCAGACACTCACATCAGAGGAGGATTTAGGCCGTCTTCTGGGTCTTTGGAAGACGGTCAGATTTTCAAGTTTACTTTGACAGGTATCTATTTTTTGTCGGAACGGTCAGAAATGGAGGATGGTAACAAAGATAATTTGGAAGACTGTCAGAAAATATCTCTGGATCCGCCCCTACACATAAAACTTTACCCAAGACGTTACAGTATATTTCAGAGTCGAGCTATGTTAGATAAAGTTACACCTTATTGTGCACATATTATGTCGCAAAACCCTGCAATTTGCTAGTAAAAACATATTAAAAATAACAAAATCTGATAATAAGTAGTACGTTTAATACATCACATAATTTTAATTGGCCTAGCAATTCTTTATATTCTCATATTTGTATACGTTTGAATCTTTTGAATGTGAAAGAAAATGATACTTTACCCCAGTATGCTATGGCTCAATGTACATGTGCTGTAGTAATGAAATTCCTATTATGTTATAATTGGTATACTAGCCCCATTACCAGCGTTGTGTCAACATTAAAAATGGTGACAAGAAAGCCACCGTTTAAATATGGGCAAAGCTTACAAATAATATTTAAAAAAAAGTGACATTCATGTGTCAGACACGCTTCAATAGTTCTAAATGCAATAACGCTTCCGCATGCAATTGCAATAATATTAGTTCTGATTGAATTTAACTTTTTATCTATAAGGCCAGCCAAAAGCTTGAGTCGAGGCAAAACGCTCAGCTGTGTCGTTAGATCTGATCCATTTGAGGGTAGCGGAAACGCACCCTTGCAACTTACCAACACAGTATAAGGGCGCATCCCCATAGATTTTAGATCGATCTATCCTCGTGGGGAGTCTCACTAGATTACTGTCAAATAATCCGGCTTAAATGTCCGTCCCGCCTACTACAAGCTGTAAGGGGGTAATTAACTTTCGTGCCCGCTCGGCTGACAGCTATTTAGCGTGAACACCCAGGGAGTTAGGTCGATCTAGTTGGATCGATCTAATCTCTGGGAATGGGGTCTAAGAAAGTAAAAGAACACACAGTATGAAAAAGGTCTACGCATGCGACTAGTATCCGTGAAATTTTGACCTCAGCTGTATCAACCAGGTTTTTGCAACCGGTCAGTCAGTTTTGAGCTTTTTTGGTGGACATACAGGACATATTGTACATCTTTGCCAAACATGGTTAAACTGCGAATTATTCGCTCTAAAGCGAGAAAAAAAAACCAAATGATGCGTCCTTAAACTTTTAAGTAAGTGATATTATCTCGGGGGCGGGCTCATTGCGTCACGTGCGTGCGCACGTATTAAATGCTATAGGTCCTCTCTGAGCAATTCACTCTCTTATTACAGCAAGGTGTGTTTGAGAAGGCTGTACTTTGCTAACAAACGTGAAAGGAGCACTTGCAGTGACTGAACGATTGATATCGAGTAACCAGACTCTCAGACAGACCTAAGTCCACTGGCCGCGTCACGTACGCTCGTGCTAATACAACGTTTAATTGTTAAAGTGCAAAGCAAACGGAACAACTCACCGTTATACGGGGTATAGTGTGGGTGTCGTAGTAGAAGCGAGGAAGTGTTGGACTCGTTCACGCACGCACGACAACAGCGCCAACCCCTGGGGTATATACGACCGCTGGGAGGGCTAGCACCATTTGTACGATGGCTGGTGTTGCAACAGGTAAGACCTTTTGTGTTCCATAAGAGTATCGCCTTTCAGCATAATTGTGGGATTTTTTCTTAATGTTTTATAAAGGATTTCATTAGTTTTGTAGACGATTCATTAATTTTTAATTAGTTTTTTATTATATGTGCACACCTCTCTCTTTCTCTCTCTCTCTCTCTCTCTCTCTCGTGTCGTTAGTGTGTTCGATGAGAGGGGGTCCCTGTCACCGGAGACGCATTCAACGATGGAATCTGAGATCGAAAGCCTCTGCAACATTCATTACTTCCTGGTCGATATGCATACTGTCTGGTAAAGTACAAAAAAGTCGCTCGGGATATTTGCATTGCATTACACTCTAGTTTTCATTGCGTTCCATCTTTGTTAACACATGCACAGCCATGACATGTGGCGCAATGTAGAGAGTTACTGTTGCGAGTGACTCATGCAGAAATACTTGAGTTGGTGTTAGCTGGTGTTAAACAGTGTTTACCATATTAATATTTGATGTATTTTTGAGGGTGTCTTTGAAATGTATATTGACAGGAGGAAAATGTAAAGAGAGAGAGAGAGAGAGAGAGAAAATGAGTTTCACATGACAACGATGAAAAGACAATATTACACACTCTCAAAGGAACCCCTCACTATCAAAACCCGTTTCATACCAAGAGCTACTTATTTAATATTTATATAATGTTCTCAAAACCGGTTTACCCTTCGATCAGATTTGGTCTACAATTAACCTGCCGGGTAAGAAAGTCGGTCGACATGGGCTTGAATCGCGGGAAATCTGTTTTATTTGTGTACTCTTAGGCCTCTATTCTAATTTAATACCCGTTACGTTCACCGTATGTTATTCAAAAGTATCGGTTTGGGCCGAATAAAGGGTACGTTTGAATAAGCAAGAACATACTATAATGCTTCGTAAATTCTTTGCAATATAATTTCAATGGCCAAAATAAATGACCCACATGTTTTGTGCTTGCCTTCGTTGTATTAAATTTTCTTTTATCTTAGGTTAAATGTGCTATTGTGTTTGATTTCATAGACAGAAAACGTGCCCCTCGTTCGTACGAGTTTGTATGCGATGAAAGCAAAGTATAGCGATATTGAATAACAAAATTTCAAGGGTGCGTTATAGACATTATATAACGGGCAATTTTCGCTAAGTTGTCAAATATTTTGACAGTTCTGGCACTGGTTGGAGGACCGATCTGTGACCGCCTGCTGACCATCGGAGTTAACCTGTGGGAGAACAGGTCATAATCTGGGAATATATTCGTTATACATTAATATAGGATATAAATGAATGAAAGGTATTATAAATAGATAAATATTTTCTTATGAATTCTTTTGCATATTGACAGATATTCCACCAGGGCAAATAGCCCGTTTTCAGGCTGTTAAATTTAACACTAGCTAACGTGGGTGTTGTTTAATTTCCATACATCCTTTTCAGTAAGTACAGCTATAGATATATTAACAATTATACTAATAACAACGTAGTGTTATCCACTCAAAGTTACACCGATAATAATTCTTCAAACCACAGCTATTTCCCCTCCAGTATTTCAGCCTAAGGCCAACAAGACATCTCAAAAGGGGGATGAAGTCACAGATGTAACCTCTCACTTTTAACACGCCTTTTCCAATTGGCGTGGAATTGTTACTTTTTTTATTCATTTTTATTCATTGTNCTATGGAAATGGGGTGTAAGAAAGTAAAAGAACACACAGTATGAAAAAGGTCTACGCATGCGACTAGTATCCGTGAAATTTTGACCTCAACTGTATCAACCAGGGATTTGCAACCGATCAGTCAGTTTTGAGTTTTTTTTAGTGGACATTGTATATCTTTGCCAAACATTGTTAAAATCGTCTGCAAATTATTCGCTCTAAAGCTAGAGAAAAAGCCAAATGATGCGTCCTAAAATTTTTAAGTAAGTGATATTATCTCGGGGGCGGGCTCATTGCGTCACGTGCGTGCGCACGTATTAAATGCTATAGGTCCTCTCTGAGGGGGCCGTAGCAATAGTCCGAAGGTTCAATAGTCCGAAGGTTCATTGGTCCGAATATTCACTATAGAACCTTCGGACCAATGAACCTTCGGACTATCGAGACGCCCCCTCTCTGAGCAATTCACTCTCTTATTACAGCGAGGTGTATTTGAGAAGGCTGCACTTTGCTAACAAACGTGAGGGGAGCACTTGCAGTGATCGAACGATTAATATCAAGTAACCAGACTCTCAGACAGACCCAAGTCCACTCGTCGCGTCACGTACGCTCATGCTAGTACAATGTTTAATTGTTAAAGTGCACAGCAAACCGAACAACTCACCGTTATACGGGGTATAGTGTGGGTGTCGTAGTAGAAGCGAGGAAGTGTCGGACTCGTTCACGCACGCACGACAACAGCGCCAACCCCTGGGGTATTCACGACCGCTGGAGAGCTAGCACCATTTGTACGATGGCTGGTGTTGCAACAGGTAAGACCTTTTGTGTTCCATAAGAGTATCGCCTTTCAGCATAATTGTGGGATTTTTTCTTAATGTTTTATAAAGGATTTCATTAGTTTTGTAGACGATTCATTAATTTTTAATTAGTTTTTTATTATATGTGCACACCTCTCTCTTTCTCTCTCTCTCTCTCTCTCTCTCTCTCTCTCTCTCGTGTCGTTAGTGTGTTCGATGAGAGGGGGTCCCTGTCACCGGAGACGCATTCAACGATGGAATCTTTGCAACATTCATTACTTCCTGGTCGATATGCATACTGTCTGGTAAAGTACAAAAAAGTCGATCGGGATATTTGCATTGCATTACTCTCTAGTTTTCATTGCGTTCCATCTTTGTTAACACATGCACAGCCATGACATGTGGCGCAATGTGGAGAGTTACTGTTGCGAGTGACTCATGCAGAAATACTTGAGTTGGTGTTAGCTGGTGTTAAACAGTGTTTACCATATTAATATTTGATGTATTTTTGAGGGTGTCTTTGAAATGTATGTTGACAGGAGGAGAATGCAAAGAGAGAGAGAGAGAGAGAGAGAGAGAGAGAGAATGAGTTTCACATGAAAACGATGAAAAGACAATATTGCACACTCTCAAAGGAACCCCTCACTATCAAAACCCGTTTCATACCAAGAGCTACTTATTTGATATTTATATAATGTTCTCAAAACCGGTTTACCCTTCGATCAGATTTGGTCTACAATTAACCTGCAGGGTAAGAAAGTCGGTCGACATGGGCTTGAATCGCGGGAAATCTGTTTTATTTGTGTACTCTTAGGCCTCTATTCTAATTTAATACCCGTTACCACCGTATGTTATTCAAAAGTATCGGTTTTGGTCGGAATAAAGGGTACGTTTGAATAAGCAAGAACATACTATAATGCTTCGTAAATTCTTTGCAATATCATTTCAATGGCCAAAATAAATGACCCACATGTTTTGTGCTTGCCTTCGTTGTATTAAATTTTCTTTTATCTTAGGTTGTGCTATTGTGTTTGATTTCATAGACAGAAAACGTGCCCCTCGTTCGTACGAGTTTGTATGCGATGAAAGCAAAGTATAGCGATATTGAATAACAAATTTTCAAGGGTGCGTTATAGACATTATATAACGGGCAATTTTGGCTAAGTTGTCAAATATTTTGACAGTTCTGGCACTGGTTGGAGGACCGATCGATGACCGCCTGCTGACCATCGGAGTTAACCCGTGGGAGAACAGGTCATAACCTGGGTACATATTCATCAGACATTAATATAGGAAATAAATGAATGGTTTATTATAAATAGGTTAATATTTTTTTATAAATTCTTCTGCATATTGAAAGATTTTCCTTTAATCACCAGGGCAAATGACCCGTGTTCAGGCTGTTAAATTTAACACTAAACTAGCAAACGTCAGTGTTGTTTAATTTCTATACATCCTTTTCAGTAAGTACAGCTATAGATATATTAACAATTATACTAATAACAACGTAGTGTTATCCACTCAAAGTTACACCGATAATAATTCTTCAAACCACAGCTATTGCCCCTCCAGTATTTCAGCTTAAGGCTAACAAGACATCTCAAAAGGGGGATGAAGTCACAGATGTAACCTCTCACTTTTAACACGCCTTTTCCAATATTGGCGTGGAATTGTTACTTTTTTTATTCATTTTTTTCATTGTTTTTTTTTTTTTTTTATTAAATTCCTATTTATTTATTTATTTATTTATTTATTTGCTGAAAGGGTTACCTAAATTATTCATATACCCATGATTGCTGTTGACCCACGAATTGTAATGTTACTCTTAACAGTGTCACCTGAGTGAATCTTGCTTGAAAACATTAAGGTTATTTCAAAGGAGATGTACTGTAGACAGCGTGACTTGTCTGAATTATTATTTTTTTTTTACAACGATGACACCGATATGCTTTAAAACTGATACCCTATGCGGGTTTGGCATTGACATACGTTTCACCATGCTGAGTAATCCCTTTGAATATACATAAAAACATTACTTTTCAACGGTTGCTTTTTCTGCTCTTTGTTATAGCCTTATTCAGCAAAGATGAAGATGTATCAGCAAAAAAGTATATAAATCTAAGGGAAGATTATGATCGTACTACTTAGCGCACTGACCTTTTTTTTATATCTTAGATGCTCTGAGCGTTCAATACCACTGGCGGATACAGGTTT